AACAAGGCGTTGGCTGGTCCCCAAATTGTATATGTCTTTCCGCTACCAGTCTGATCAAAGTCAATCACATTAAAATGTTATTGTATCATGTCAGCGCGAGAAAGAACATTTGGAGTTGTGCAGGCATATTTAACATGTAGCAGGATGTGGTAGGCTAACACTACCTGTCCATAAGCAAATACTGAGCTGTTAAACCCAGCAAGACAATTTTCAACAAGAGGAGCTCCCAGATGCTGGTATATATCAAGCTGAAAGAACAATAAGAAAGAAGGGTCAAGTGCATGTCACTTTCATTATTCTCCTTTTTGTATACTTTTTATATTGAAGAAAAGAACAATAACAAGGAAGAATCAACCATAGTTATCAGATTAGAATATACTCAATACACCTATTTCCTCCTAAAGCCTAGGTAACAGGTTATTACTTTTTACCTGTGTTGATTGAGTATCTGCAATAGAGTCAAATGTAAATGTATGCCCAGCTATTGATAAAGAATCATTAGCGACTTTCTGGACGACAACTTCCCCTTCCCATAGTTATCAGATTAGAATATACTCAATACAGCTATTTCCTCCTAAAGCCTAGGTAACAGGTTATTACTTTTTACCTGTGTTGATTGAGTATCTGCAATAGAGTCAAATGTAAATGTATGCCCAGCTATTGATAAAGAATCATTAGCGACTTTCTGGACGGCAACTTCCCCTTCTTCCTCATCCTTGGTTGGCGGCCTCATCCTCACTATGACCTGATTTAACAAGAAAAGTTGCAGGAATCAATACAGGACCTACCAGCACTAGGCACTTAGACAATGCCTGTTTGAACCAATCAAACAGAAGGCAGAGTGCCAGACAAAAGAAAGTGGATCAAATATCATTTGGAAGAAACAGCAAGCCAGTATTGATAACAGTAAACCAAGTCACACTCAGCATTTTAAAAAAGTAAAACCAATGCATATAAATGTATGCTCCCATTAATGAAAACTAGAAACTAGAAAACCATTAAGGCATTTTTTTATAATTGTGATATCATATCACAGGACAGTTTGCGCGCACCTTGACTAATTCTACAGAATACCTGCTACCTCCAACTAGCAACAGGTACCGAGTAACTTTGTCCACCAAGTCTTGACCATTAGGCCACACCCTTGGGTGCAACATACTTCATCTTATATCCCGTACGGATAGAGTCAAAGTTGCTCGGACACGGGTGCGGATCTAGAGGTCGGATCCTTCGAGATATAAATTCTGAGATTCGGGGATACGGATCCTAGTACGGATACGGTTGCGGGAATCCGGCTAAAATAATTCAAAAATATAAAAATATCTTTAAATTATGAGAAATTTTATGGAATACTTACGTATAGCTTGTAAAGTGTGTATTTCTTTTTTATTCTCAAGTTGTAGATAAGTAAAGGATTGATTTTCTAGATAAAGTATGTTATTTTCTTCAAATTTACTCTGATTTTGGTTCTGATTTCGGGAATCAAATTGTATCTCGTCTCGAATTTTTCCGTCGTCGTGGTCAAAGTACCCAAAATTGTTTGACCAGATCCAGTACGGATCCCATACCCACACTCATACTAGTGTTGTGTCGACACGGGTGCGGCACCTAAACTGCCGTATCGGAGCAACTTAGGATAGAGTTGATGGTATGGGTTCGGCAGAACCCAATAACTTTGGCCCAAACCATGTATGTACAAATTATTAATTCCGAAACTCAAAAGGGTTAGAATCCAGAATTCATAAACTTTAAATCATGATCCGCCTCTGCAGTTATATCTCCAACATCGAAACAACAATTTAAACAATAGCTAACCTTAAATCCTAAACAAGTTCAGATCGGCTATAGTAACCTTCTATATCAACTCTGCTATTTTTGGACCTGTTTAATTCAATCTCGAAAAAAGGAGCAAAAATTAGGGTAATTTTCCCTGACAATTACCTTGACTCCAGAGTCAGAAGATCCAGCGTTGCCATTCTCAGTACCAACGGACTCCAAATTGAGCTTCCGTTTCAAATTATTGGAGTTAGGCGGCGGACGGGGAGGTAGAGGACTCTTGATCTTCAATCCAACGGCCGGGGACGAGTTTGGATCGGTCAGGTGATTCATCGGAGGAGCATTTTCTTTAGATGATTTGTTATGCTTTCTGTTACTGTTACTACTAGGGTTGATAGGTGATGTTGTGAATTTCTGCTTTAAAGAGCTAGGATTTGGAGATGATGGCATTGTAGCTGCGGCCTCGTTATTCTCCCTTAAGATTGTGTTTCTCTGTTGCGTAAAGTGCTTCATTTTTTTTGAAATGGTGAAGGTGAAGATGAAGAAGAAAAGGGGATTAGGGTTTTGAGGGAGAAGAAGTAGCCGTTGGGACGTTGGGTATTTGATGAATTTGAATTGAAATGAGAGGGGAAATGGGGGGTGTAAAAGGTATAGGAGAGAGAACGGGGTAATGATTTGTCTTCTTTTACCGTAAGCTGACTTTACGTATGATTAATCTCAACCTCAGTTCACATGTGGGCTGTGGCACGTGGCTTTATTACCCATTTGTTTAACTTCAACGAATTGTAGCGGATTAGCAGTGATAAAGTGTCTCTCGTACCCTATAACATATAGTTTACGCATTCGATGTAAGAAAGCAGCCACTAATCAGATGCGGATTCAGAATTTCGAGAATATGAATGCACCATTGATACTTTAGGAAAACTAAAATAAAAGTGAGGCTTAAGAATAAGCAATTACCTTAAGTTAGCAAGAAATAAGGGGCCAAAACTAGTAAACCACTTTGCCTCTTTTGATCATGGGTGTCATCCAGTAATAATAAGTCATTTTTCACAAATTATATACATACAACAACAACAACAACAACAACAATCCAGTATAATCCCACTAGTGGGGTCTCTGGAGGGTAGTTTATACGCAGACCTTACCCCAACAACAATCTAATATAATCCCACTAGTGGGGTCTCTGGAGGGTAGTTTATACGCAGACCTTACCCCAACAACAATCTAATATAATCCCACTAGTGGGGTCTCTGGAGGGTAGTTTATACGCAGACCTTACCCCAACAACAATCTAATATAATCCCACTAGTGGGGTCTCTGGAGGGTAGTTTATACGCAGACCTTACCCCTACCCTAGGGCAGAGAGGTTGTTTCCGATAGACCCTCGGCTTCCTCCCTCCAAGAACTCACCACCTTACTCTTGGGGTGACTCGAACTCACAACCTTTTGATTTGAGTCATATTTTCACCCACTCGAATGGTAGTACTTTCTCTATTCTCCGATTGTCTGACTACAACACTAATTTGAACAAGGTGAAGCTGAGCCTAATACACTTTACGAAAAATTTATAACTTTAAGATCGATTTAGGTCCAAAATTTGTAAGGACCATGAAATAGAATCGTGAACCAGCAGCTAAAGCAACGTTCGATTTAACAAATTCGGTTAGCTCATTGTTTTCCAGTCTTCATATCATAATCTCAAAACAACGTTGACCATATTTTTTTCTTTATTTTTTCTTATTACATATGGGATGTGTGGGAGGAAAAGGGAAAAGGATAATGGAAATTGAACTCACCTTATTATGTGGAAAACTTTCACGATATCACTAAACAATTGACGGTTCTTTATGCATAACCTCAACAGAACGTATAATTTAAATAATTCTTTAATCATTCCTTAATATGACACAAGAGGTAAGACCGTAAGAGTATACCACATTGTAGGATCCGGACCCGAAATGATTAGTAATTATTAACATACATAGTCGCTATCAAAATAATGATCGAAAATATATATTTTTTATATATATATTGTGTATGTTATATACAAAAATTATACAAATTTTATAAACTTTTTCGACTATCGAATATAAATTATTTCTAGCGCGAACTAAAAGGTGAAAAAGTCCTTTTTGAAAATGACTTTGTTCTAGATATGAAAATGAGGAAGAAGAAAAAAAATGACAGATCAGATTTTTGAAAATGCATATGGATCTTGAAATGGGTCAAGAACAGTCAAAGCCACAGCTCACATGGCTTGTTTCTTTTTTATTCTCATCTTGAAATGGTAGTACTTCTACTTATGTTGCAAAAAAAAAAAAAGTAGGCAGATGTACAAAACATCTTGTATTTATGTAAGGTCCGAAAAAAGGTCGTACCCCAAGAGATATAATGTAAACAACTTATCATAATACAAGCATTAGTTGTTTGTTTCCACAACTCGAACCCGTGACCTATAGGTTACAAAAATATTTCAAAATAAGAGTTTCTGTAAAACCATTTTGAAAGTAGTATGAAGCTATGACACAATATTAAGCCTTAATAATCAACAACATGGTTGGTGAAAACTTCCACTAATATCACTAATCACTACTTCTTTTCTGTTATAAGAAAAATCAAATTATGGTAGATGTCTATGTCTATTCTTCCTCCATGATCTTCTCAAATGCTTAATGATATATTCAATGACATATTTCTATGTTTAATGACATATTCAATGACATATTTTTCTTCACTTTTTATGCATATATAAAGGCCTTATAATAGATAGAAAAATACACACAATTGAAGAAGATATAAGAATGTCTCTTCCTCTCTTTCTCTCTATATCTCTTAGCTTGTTTTTCCTTGTTCTATATTATTACTTTTAGTAATATTTATAATACGTTATCAACACGAATTAGCTTCTACTCAAGTCTGATCCGGTACACACTAGCTACCACCACTCTGCTTTTTATTTTCATTATGTCAAATTTATCAAAGCTTGAATTTGTGGCACTTGACATCTCCGGAAAGAATTATTTATCATGGGTCCTTGATGCTGAAATTCACCTTGCTGCAAAAAGCTCTTGAAAATACTATTATACAAGAAAATGAAACATCATGCCGGGATAAAGCAAAGGCTATGATTTTCCTTCATCATCATCTCGATGAAGGGTTAAAGACCGAATACTTAACCCTAAAGGATTCATTTGAATTATGGAGCAGTTTGAAGGAACGATATGAAGGCAACGATATTGCCAAGAGCTCGATATGAATGGATTCACTTACGGTTACAAGATTTTAAAAATGTAAGTGAATATAATTCTGTTGTATTCAGGATAACTTTTCAACTTAAATTATACGGGAAAATTGTGAATGATAAGGATTTACTGGAAAAGACTCTTTCTACTTTTCATGCATCAAATATGGTATTGCAGCAACAATACCGTGAAAAGGGTTTAAAGAAATATTCTAAATTAATCTCATGCCTCCTGGTGGCTGAGCAACATAATACCCTTTTAATAAAAAATTATGAAGCTCGTCCCACTGGATCTGCACCATTTTCCGAAGTGAATATGGTAGCAGCTACTCAAAAGTATGAAAGAAGACAAAATCATTATCGTGGTCGTGGCCGTGGCCATAGTCGTGGACATGGACAAGGACATGGAAGGGGACGAAATAATTATCATCATCATGGCGGAAATAAACAAGAAAACAATAAGGATCCTCAAAATAATCCTTTGAAAGGCAGAGTTAATATTTGCCACAAGTGTGGTATGAAAGGTCATTGGGTTCGTGTTTGTCGTACAGCTGACCATTTTGTTAAACTTTATCAAGCATCCAATAAAAGAAAAGATAATAATGTGGAGGCACACTTGACTTTTCAAATTGATGATGATAAAGCAGGCCCCTCAAACAAATATGATGATGTTGAGATAAATCTTGCATATAAAGATGATGATTTTGGAGGCCTTGCAGATATTACTCATTTAGAAGCTGGAGACTTCTTTGAAGATATTGACTGAGGAATTGATTATCTTACTGGGGAATAAAGCTTTAAGAAAAGTTATTATTTTCATATTATGTCTTTATGTAGTTTGTTCTTCTTAAGTGTACTTTCCTAAAGCATCATATATGTTAGTTTCTATATTCCTCGTGTAATTTCTAATATTTTTTTTATTTATAGTCTTTCGTATTTCTTGTGATATACTTTTTGTTTATTTATGAAGAATATGAAAATTCTCCAGTCTTCAGTTAGATCCAAGATCAATAAAGATGATATATGTCTTTTTGATAGTGCTATAACACATACTATTTTAAGAGATACAAGATATTTCTCTTATTTGGTGATGAAAGAAGCCAATGTTAATACAATATCTGATAGTACAAGATTAATTGAAGGCTCAGGAAGAGCAAATTTATTACTACCCGGAGGAACAAATTTGGTTATTAACGAAGCATTATATTGTAGTAAGTCTCAAAGAAACTTACTAAGTTTCAAAGATATTCGCCAAATTGGATATCACATTGAGACTACAAATAATAAAAAGATTGAATATCTTTATATTACTACAATAAAGTCGGGTAAGAAATATGTGCTTGAAATATTACCTGCCATTTCCTCCGGCTTATATTACACAAGTATTAGCAGGATTGAAACGCATGCCATAGTAAATGAAAAGTTTACTAATCAAGATAATTTTATTATTTGGCATGACCGGTTGGGTCATCCTGGTTCTACTATGATGCATAAAATAATTGAGAATTCACATGGACATTCAATGAAAAACCAAAAGATTCTTCAATTTAAGGAATTCTCTTGTGCTGCATGTTCTCAAGGCAAATTAATTATTAGACCATCAACTATTAAAGTTAGGATGGAATCCCCTACATTTCTGGAACGTATACAGGGTGATATATGTGGGCCCATTCACCCTCCATGTGGACTATTTAGATATTATATGATTTTGGTAGATGCATCTGCAAGATGGTCACATGTGTGCTTATTATCAACTCGCAATATGGCATTTGCGAGATTGTTGGCTCAAATAATAAAGCTAAGAGCACAATTTCCAGATTATACAATTAAGACAATTCGTCTTGATAATGCTGGTGAGTTTACATCTCAGGCCTTTACTGATTATTGTATATCAACTGGATAACAATTGAGCATTCGGCTGCTCATGTTCATACACAAAATGGTCTAGCAGAATCATTGATCAAACGCCTCCAATTAATTGCTAGACCAATGCTTATGAGAACAAAACTCTCCATTTCAGTATGGGGTCATGTTATTTTGCATGCAGCATCACTTGTGCGGATAAGGCCCACAAGTTATCATAAAGTCTCCCCATTGCAATTGGATTTTGGTCAGGAGCCAAATATTTCCCATCTTAGAATATTTGGATGTGCGGTATATGTTCCAATTGCTCAACCACAACGCACAAAGATGGGTCTCCAAAGAAGGTTGGGGATATATGTTGGTATGAATCTCCTTCTATTATAAAATATCTGGAGCCTATGACTGGAGATTTTTTTACTGCAAGATTTTCTGATTGCCATTTTGATGAATCAGTATACCCAACATTAGGGGGAGAAAATAAGCAGCTCAGAAAGGATTTAGATTGGATTGTATTATCACTATCTATGATGACCCAAAAGGTCATCTTATATTTTAGAACTCGAATATGCGCTCTTAAGCCTTAAAAATCTTATTTTTACCCTCCTACATTTATGTTGAAAACTAATGAAAATAAGAATTTTTGCCTTAAAAGTTAATTTTAGTTGACTTCGATCAATATTTTTGGTAAACGGGCTCGGATACGTGCTTTGACGGTTCCGGTAGGTCCGTATCAAATTATGGGACCTGGGCGTATATCCGGAATCCAATTCGGAAGTCCCTAACTTGAGTTATGATTTTTTTTATGAAAATTAAAAGTTTGGAAATTATTTGTTTTTAAGAATTTATTGATATTTGGCATTGTTAGTATCGGGTTCGTATTTTGGTTCCGGAGCCCGGTACATGTTCATTATGATATTTAAGACATGTCTGTGAAATTTGGTGAGAAACGGAGTTGATTTGACGTGATTCGAACGTCCAGTTGAGAAAATAGAAATTTTAAAGTGTTCTTGAGAATTTCATTTGATTTGCAGGTCCATATGATGTTTTTAGACTTATGTGCATGTTTGGTTTGGAGCCCCAAGGGCTCGGGTGAGTTTCGGATAGGCTACGGGGTGATTTGCACTTAGAAAATCTGACATTTTTGCTGCAGCAGCTGTTCTGGTGTGCCCTTCTTCGCGTTCGCGTAGGTAGTGTCGCGAACGCGAAAGGTAAAATGGGGCAAGGGAATTTTCTTCTTCGCGAACGCGAAGGACTAGTCGCGAATGCGAAGCGTTGGGGGTGGTACCCTTCGCGAACGCGATCTGTCTCACGCGAACACGATAGTTTAAGGGACCTGGGGGAGGGGGGTCATGTTCTTCTACGCGAACGCGTCCACGGGGTCGTGAACATGAAGGCTTGGGGGGAGCTGCCTTATGAGAATACGTAGAAAGACTCACGAACGCGAAGGCCTTAGGCCGCTGTGCATCGCGAACGTAGCAGGCCTCTTGCGAACGCGATGAAGGCATGTCCAGTGACTTAAAACAGACTCCAAACGCGAGTTTAAGCCATTTCTTCAATATTTTTCAAGAGTCAAACGGGTATAGGCGATTTTCAAGAGTCATTTTCTTCCCCAAAGTGTTGGTAAGTGATTCTAAACCATTTTCTTTCAATTACCCATTACATTTTATGAATTATCAACCTAAAATCTAGAGTTTTCATGGTAGAATTAGGGATTATGGTAGAAACTAAGGATTTCGGGAATTTGAGGATTTAGACCCCAATTTGAGGTCGGATTCCAAAACTAATTACATATTCGGGCTCAGGGGTGAATGGGTAAAAAGATTTTGGTCCGAACCTCGGGTTTTGACCAAGCGGGCCTGGGGTTGATTTTTCGACTTTTTGGAGAAAAATTTGGGAAATTTAATTTATGAAATATAATTGATTCCTTTAGCAATATTTGATATTATTGAGTCATTTTTGAATAGGTACGAGTGAATTGGAGGTGAATTCCAAAGGAAAAGCTGTGATTGAGAATTTAAGTGGCCTTCGGAGCGAGGTAAGTGTTGTGTCTAACTTTGGCTTGAGGGAATAGGTATTGTGTGTGTATTTGCTACGTGTTTTGTTGTTGAATACGACGTATAGTTGAGATGACGAGCATCTATACGTTGTGGTCGAGTCATAGCATGCGAGTGAAATCCCATTTCTTGCAAATTTGTAGTCTTAAATCTTGTTATCCATGCTTATTGTTGTTGTTGAAATTTTGGGAGACTTGTATCCGGTTCCACCAAGGTCGATAAAATTGTGAATATTGATTCAAGGTCGAGATGTTAAATTATGAAAGTAATCATTGACGAAATATTGATTTATTGTGAAACTTCTCTCTATCCGTTGTTATTGATTCTGTGAATTGTGAGGAAGAGTGTAAAGCACGAAGAGTGATGCCGTGCATAATCTAACTATATTGTGAGGAAGAGTGTAAAGCACGAAGGGTGATGCCGTGCATAATCTAACTATATTGTGAGGAAGAGTGTAAAGCACGAAGGGTGATGTCGTGCATAATTTAATTATATTGTGAGGAAGAGTGTAAATCACGAAGGGTGATGCCGTGCATAATTTAATTATATTGTGAGGAAGAGTGTAAAGCACGAAGGGTGATGTCGTGCATAATCTTTTTATATTGTGAGAAAGAGTGTAAAGCACGAAGGGTGATGCCGTGCATGAATTATTTATATTATGAGGAAGAGAGTAAAAGTACGAAGGGTGATGCCGTGCAGTTTTCCTTTGTTGTTTTAATTGCTCAATTCGTCTAAGGATTTTCTGTTTAATTCTGTCTTTTCATTATTCTCACTCTTTATGTTGTATTTCCCCCACTGAATGTCTCATTTCCCATTATTTCTACGTTATTGCTTTATTTATTGTTGTTGCCACTAGCATGATTATACTGTTCAGGTTATATGTGGGTGTCTTGTCCTAGCCTCGTCACTACTTCGCCGAGGTTAGGCTCGACACTTACTAGTACATGGGGTCGGTTGTACTGATACTGCACTCTGCACTTTCTGTGCAGACTTTGATACCGGTTCAGGTTGATCGAGATTTTGCTATTGGTCCGCTGTCCGGAGACTCAAGGTAGATCTGTCGGCGTTCACAGACCTTGAAGTCCCCGTTTTCTTTTTATGTCATTATTGTTCTCTTTCATTCAGACAATTGTATTTCTTCCAGACTATTACTTGTAGTAAATTCTAGAATACTCGTGAATTGTGACTCCAGATTCGGGTGGTAGTAATTAATACAGTTTTATGAGATTTCGCACTTATTATATTTTATCTTAATTAATTATTGTTAATTACTGAATGAAAATAAGGAATTGGCTTAATGATTCTCTAACGTTGGCTTGCCTAGCAAGTGAAATATTAGGCGCCATTATGGTCCCGTCGGTAAAAACTTTCGGGTCGTGACACTATCTCATTTAGATCCTCGAACAAATCAATGTGAACAAGAGGTTCAAAAGATAATTCATTTATAAAATATTACAAATCAACTACCAGATGCATTCACTGACCTACCAAGGGTGACTAAGTCACATATTTCAGCTGTTAATGCTCCAATTCGAGTTGATATCCCGATAGGACAATCAATTAAAGCAAATGAGTTTAAAACACGCTTGAAACGTGGTAGACCAATCGGTTCTAAGGATAAAAATTCTCGAAAAAGAAAAGGAGTAAATGATCAAAGTGATCATAATAAGAAGGTAGTGGCTCAAGAAGAGCACGGAGACATAACAAATGATAAAACCTCAAGGGAGGTTCAGGTACCTAAAAATAATGAGAATAGAGAGATCTCAATAAGTTATGTCTCAACGGAAAAAATATGGAACCAAAATAATATTGTTATCGATAACATTTTTGTTTATAATGTCGCTGTTGA